TTCGACGAATCAGGATCGAAGAGAATGCACACCACAAGCTGTTCTACGGCACGAAATCTCGGCACGAAACCCGAGTGGTCAGTTTCAGAAAGCGACTCACTTCTGTCTTCACTGGGAAATAATCTCGTTAATCACAGGACAGAGCCAGAGCAGTGGCCCCAAGTCAAGAATCCAGCCACTAATCCAGCCACCAATTCCAACGAACTCGCCAAGACAGTCAACTAGAAAGATAATATTTGGAATGTGAAATGTTAAAGCCCCCGGAATGCACAGAGCTGTCTAGAAGGTGGTGTACAGAATGTCTTCAGTCTAGAATTTACGGCTTTGTTTTCCAAGGTTGAGACAACTTATAAAGATGGAACATTGCTGTGTCTTTAGTCATTTTAAGTTTTTTTTTTCTCTTCTTCTCAGAACCTTATTTTTCCTAAAGAGAAAATAACCAATAACGAACAGCTACGATGTGCCAGGTGTTTAACGCCCATTGACTTGAACCTTCCCACTGGGAAGCAGGTGTGACTGTACCCATTTCATGGGTAAGGAAGTTGAGGTACAGGAACCTGCTCAAATGAAGAGAACTCCTCAGCAGAAAAGATGGAATTGACCTCAAAAAAAGGTGTTCTTCCACTGTATTGAGCCACTTCTCCCAAACTGAAAGAGTGGTCCCCCATCCTGTATGGAGCCTGGGTAGATTTTTAATCGCAAGAGCCCTACCCATTCAAAAGAGTCAGGTCCTTCCTCACAGAGTTTGTCCCTCAATTTCAGGGACAAAAATCCCATCTATAACGCAGGTGAGCCGTCCCCGAGCCACGCTGGTCTGTGAGGCATTAACGGCGGTCAGGGAGAAGGCGGGGATTTACTGGGCTTTGTTCACTGGCGATGCCAGGAGAGCTAATGTACGCTCACGGAACAGAGGCACGAGACAGATGGCCGAACACGTAAGGCGCACACATCTATTTTAAGTCTGTAGGTCCGAGCCAGGAACAAATGAGAGGGCCGACGGCTCCAGGGCAGCGCGAGAGAAACGTGCCAACAAATCAGTTTCTGTGATTCATTCATTGATTCAGCGTCTACTACAGAGATGGCAGCCACCAGACGGTGTTGGGGCGAGAAGACGCAGGCGCGAGCGCTGCCAGGGACGCGCCCTGATGGACAAGAATTAAGGGGACACTTAGCACTACAGTTCACCGGACCCGTGGGCTACACACATTCATCACCACGGGAACCTCTGAGGCAAGTACTCCCACGCCTACCCCCATTTTTCAGATGAAAAAACTGAGTCACCAAGGAGGCTGAGTGATTTGCCTAGGTCACCGAGCTAATAAGACTCAGAGCGGGTTTCTAGCCACGGTGATTGGCCCAGAGGTGCTGCTCTAATCAGGACACTCTGTGCCTCTGTCCACGACCACCATCTCTGCCTCTCGCCCCCCAAAATGATAGGAAGTGAGAGGTGGACCGCACCTTAAAGGTGACCAAGCGCACTGCCTTTTACTCGTGTCTAAATGGCATAACCTTGACGTTTCCTCCAGGCTCAGTGTGAGACAGCGAGCCAGGGGCCGGGAGCTCGGGCCCTCCACCTCGCTCTCCTCCTCCTGGGCCCTGGGTGCAGGGCCCCGCAGAGCCCAGTGAAGGGTCACTGCGCGTGGCCTCTCCCACCCGTCCACTCCCATTTTGCAGATGGCAACACTGAGCCCCAAGGAGCCTTTGAACTAGAATAGAACGGACTCGCACCCCACCTGTCAAATGAGGTGGTTGCCTCACCTGCTGTTTTCAGAGCCATAGACATGTGGGATGAAGGCCTCCTCCCCATCAACAGCTAACACTGCAATTCCAAGGCACTTCCTGTATCTTTTCTTTGACTTTCCCTTCCTGCAGTACCGTGAACTAAAGGGGCTGCTGCTCTTATACCCATTTTTCAGATGATGAAACAGAAGCTCACAGAGGTGAAGGGGTGAGTCCCCTGTCATTGAGTCAGGACTTGTCGCTCAGTCCCGCCCTCTTTTCTCTGCCGTCAGACCCCCTCCATTTGCCAACACCCGCTGTGGCCACGCAGCCCCCTTACCTGCCGTGGCCGTAGCTCTGGGGAGCGTGGTACAGGAACACGTTTCCGCGGGCCCTCCTCGCCCAGTGGCGGGCCATGTCGATCACGGGGCAGGTGATGAAGTAGTCCCTGGAGGAAGGAGGACAAAGGAGGGCCTGTGACAACTGTGCCGGGCCCAGGCTTCTCCCAGGCACCGTCCCTCGGCCACCAAGGCCCTCGCACAGGCCTGCGGAGAGCACATGGGCCAGTCTGCTTTATGGCCGCCGTGATCACACGCTGGTGTCCACGGAGAAGCACCTTAGGATCAGGAGACTTGTAGACAAACATCTTCTCAGAGCATCAGTATCACTTACCGATTTGGGAGCAAAACATTTTATGATAAAACAAATACACACAGCAGCCGACGGAGCAGAACAGGAAAGCACTGAAAAGCACTGCGCGTTTTAAAGGACAGAGCTCAGCGTGCTTCATGCCCAGGATTCCTGGGACCCGAGGCTCTCTCCGTGATACCCCCCCCCCCCACCCACCATTTGGCAGCATTTGGGGACTTTTTTGGTGGTCACAGCTGGAGGTGGAAAGGTTTCTACTGGCATCTAGTAGGTCAAGGCCAGGAATGCTGCTAAAGTAAACATCCTCCGATACAGAGGACAGCCCTCCCCAGAAAGAACGTTCTAGTCCAAATGTCAGCGGTGAGGAGGGGGACATGGTTCACACCGGCTCCCCTTTGGGGTGATGGGAATGCATTTCAGAAGCCCGCGCTGGCCACAGCGGGCCCTGCGTGGGGCAGTGCAGGGCTGGGAGCTGGGGAGGGGCTGGCCTGGCTAGAACCGGGCCTCCAGGGTTTGAATCCCACTCAGCCCTCCCTGCATGTCTGACTCTCCATGGCCTCAGCTGAGAAATGGGCCCAGGGGCCCACCCTGCAGAGATGCTGTAACAACAGTCTGACACCCATGAGAGTCCCTCGGTGAGGAGGTAACCTCCCCCCCAGCCGGTGTCTGGGCAGCTCCGGTGTTTTCAGGGGCGGCTCTGAGGGAGGGGCCTGGGGTGAGGTTCTGGAAGGGCAGGTGAAGGCCGTGTGCTTCATCCCACGGTCCCCCTGGAAGAGTGGTGGGCGGGACAGAGATGAGAGCCGCGCTGTGGGGAGGCCCATGGAGGCCAGTGACTGAGTCTGGCTGGGAGAGAAGGAAGGTACGAACTAAGGGAAGACTGGAGTCCGCCCTGCTGAGCTGGGCCGGACTCTCGCTCCATCAGCATTTCACTGGCCCCTGGCGGGCAGGCACCCCCGCTGGGGACTGACCGGATGACTCGAAGGACAGTGCAGCACCGGGTCCCGAACCTCAGTCTCTCTCACGCCCTGGGCATCCCCTGGCGCCAGGGGCCGCAGCGGCAGGAACCGTGTGCTCCGGTCTTACCGGGTGGCGTTCTCCAGGGCCCGGGAGAAGGAGGCGTAGTCGTTGGCAGAGTGCTCCAGGGAGTAGTACCACGTGGCGGCGGCCAGCACGCCCGGGTCCGCGTCCTCGCCACCCAGCGAGTTCTGCAGCGCCTGGTAGAAGGCTGTTTTGCTACTGGTCCGGCCTTGACTTTCCTCAAATTGCTGAGAGAGAGAGGGAGGGAGAGAGAGAGAGAGAGAGAGAGAGAGAGAGAGAGAGAGAGAGAGAAAAAAAATTCCCCGGTCAGATTCTGCAGGTATTGCTCAGAACCTTCTCTAGAATTCTCTCTCTGGGAAGCAGGGGACGTGGCGTCCAGCCCACGGTGCTGGCTCAGGCTGCTGGGTGTGGATCCCAGCTCCGCTCCTTCCAGCTGTGTGATCGCGAGCAACGGGCTGCCCTCCGTGCCTCCTCCCGCACCCGCGATGGGCAGGTGGGGGCCCTCGCGCAGGGGGGTGTGAGGACCACAGGTCAGTGCCGTGGGGCCATCGCTCGGTGCCTGGCCCGCATGGGCCAAGCTGACACAGGCGCACCCCATGCCTCTCCCTCCCGGGACTGCCCGTGTCGCCTGGGGCCGTGGGAGAGCTAACGCCGGGCTCACCCATGGCCTCAGTCAGGCGCCATGACGGCTGCCTGTGCTTTCACAGGGACATGGCGGCCTGGCCTCGGAAAACAGGCTCCCCGTGCCCGTGGGCCCCGTGTTCCGGTGGGTGGAGACGGAAAATAAGCAAATAACTGTGCAGCTCAGCAGGGGACAGGCGCAGTGATGAGAAACTGCAGCGTGAGAGCCACAGGGCAGGGCCATTTTACATAGACGGTCGGGGGAGACAGGTGGCTCTTGGGGGACCTGTGTTCCCATGGAAATACCTTTCCTCTCCTCCCTCCCTCCACCCTCCCTCCTTCCCCCTCTCTCCTGCTCCCTCTCCGTCTCCTTTTGCCCCTCCTCTTTCTTTCTGCCTCCTTTCTCGTCCCTCCGGTCTGCTCTGGGGGAGCTTGGGGAGGACCATCCTCCACCCCCCCCCCCCCCGGCCCGGCCCTGCCCTCATTTCTGAAGAGGAGGCGGCAGAACGTCAGGGGCACAGCTGTGAGTGTGCGGCCCAGGCCCCTTGGCCCCATCTGGTCCTGGGATGTGTGTTTACATATTTCCAGGCTTCTGTGTCAACAGCGGAATGCCCTTATCAGGACACGCTGGCATGTGTCAGCTGTGTCTGTGGACATCTCCAAGCAGGCCGGGCTGCGGCTAGAACGGGAGGAGGGGATGTGATCAGGCTGCAAGCCCCCGGCCCACACTCTCAGCGCATCCTGGTGAGCTGCGGAGCATTCACTGCTCCTCCAACAAATGTCTACAGAGTGCCGACAGGTGGCGGAGCATTTAGGATGCAGCGGGGGCCAGGACGGGCTAAGTTCTCTGCTCTTTGGGGGCTTCGAGTGGAGCTGGGGATGGACCACGCCCGACACATCTTTGCAGCAGAGAATGTTCGGCGGCGAGAAGGACTCACTAGCCTGTCAGGTGTGGATGGTGCGGGAGGGGATGGCTGGGCGGCTGGCGTGGCTTCGGGAGAGGCCAGGAGGAGGGTCCCCCGTGGTTGGCAGCTGCCGGGACAGAGTGCCCCCGAGCACCAGTGGGCGCCTGCGTCCGGGAGGCGATGGCGCAGGGGAGAGAGTGTGGCTCTGGAAGCGCAGGGCCCACCTCCTTGCTCTCGCTGGCCCCGCAGCCCCCTCTGCTCAGAGGAAATGGCCCTCAGCCAGGCCACGCAGGACCGCACCGTCAGGTCCAGCAGCCGATCACTGTCCTCGTCACCCTCCGCTCTCAGTGACATCCGGTGCTTGACCGCGGCTTCCTTTCGGAAGCTTTTCTCCTTGGCTTTGGTGACATCGAATTTTCCTGGCTTCCCTCCAGACCTGTGCCCACAGGTGTCCTCTCCTGGACTCCCAACCCATATGCCCAACGGCCAAGCCAACACATGCCCCAAATCTGGGTTATTTCTCACCGATACCTGGTCTCTCACCCCTATCTAACATACGCGCTCGCTCCCGGGACCTCACGGCGGTGTAATCTGGCATCTATTTCCTTTGTCACTCCTCCAGCGTCAGTTTTCCACAGAGCTGCCAGAATGCTCTTATTTAAAAAGATAAATCAATATACTCACTTCCTGGCTTACAACATTCCAACATCGGCCCACTACAAGTAGAATAAAATCACTTTTCTGATGGCCAATGATACGCATCTAACATGCCCCTCAGACACGTCTGACTTCCTCTCCCACCACTGCCTCCATTGTCCTGGGTTTCTAACCCTTGGCCTCCTCTGTCCCCCAGGCAATCCCTGCCCCAGGGCCTTTGCACTGGCTCTTCACATAGCTGGCTCCATAGCTGCCCCTCCTCATCATGCAGGCCTCAGAGCACAGTCACCGCCCTGGCTTCCCTGACAAAGGGCTTTCCTCCCTTGCATCACTTCCTCGCCCGTGACTGGTTCATTTTCTTCGGAGCACTTTTCCGAGACCTGAAACCCTCCGTGTATTTGCTTACACGACACTGTTCTCTCCCTGGGACACAAACTCCACAAGTCAGGAGCTTTATCTGCTGGATGACAGCCTTCCCCCAGAGCCCCTGCATGAATGTACGCGGGATGCTTGCATGAATTAATGTGTGGCTGACTCCTGTCCCTACTACTTGCTGTGGGTGTTGAGGGACAGGCCTCCCTTCTCCATTAGGCACAGTGGGCCCGTGCCTGGGGCCCCCCACAACGTTAGGGACCCATGAAAATATTTTCCTTTCCATTTCTTTTAAAATCAGAACTAAATGAATGAATAAGGACTAGAGTAAAGAATCCAGCCTGTGTTTTCCATAAAAAAGAAGGATCTCTTACCCTTTGGGGCAGCATGGAGGGACCTGGAGAGTATGATGCTAAGCAAAATAAGCCAGAGAAAGACAAGTGTCACAGGGTCTCACTCAGATGTGGAATCTAATGAACAAAATAAACTGATGAACAAAATAGATCCAGAGACATAGAAGCAGGGAACAGACTGGGATCTCAGAGGGAAGGCGGGGGTGGGGGTGTGAGTGGAGCGTGATTGACTGAGGAACTTATATGCATATACGCATAAGCCATGGACACAGACAATAGGGTGGTGAAGGCCTGGGGAGGGGCCGGTGTGGGGAGGAGGGGGTCAATGGGGGGAAAAAAAACCCAAAGGGGACAACTGTGATACTTTTGACTAAAGATAAATTAAAAAAAGAACCCATCCTGGCTCACGTTCATCTTTTCCCAGCGCCCCCAGTGGAAAACATGGCTGAGTAAATAGTAGACATAATCACGGCCCTCATTAAGGCAGCGAATAACAAATACAAGTGTGTATTTGGGGGAGAAGCCAATCCCACTGATCCGCAGGGCCATGGGGCTCATTAGGGGAGGGGGCGTGTGGAGGGTCATCTCTGAGGGCCTGGCCGCAGGCTTGTGGTGGGTGTGCTCGCAGAGCCCAGAGCCAGGGGCCGGGCAGGGTCCCCCGAGACCTGGGCACTGTCTCCTGGGCCTGGCACCCTCTCAGGCCGCATGGGGATGGGCGGGGCTGGCCGCACTGTGCCCACGTGAAGGCTAAGGAACTGCAGTTCTGGCTAGCAGCTTGCCCAAATCCTCTGGCTGAAGGCAGGAACTTAGACCCATTTTCTGACTTCAGGTCCTGGGCTGGGTCAGACTCTGGCCCCGCCCCCCACACACACCCTGATGGACGGATTCCGCACATCAGCACCTCTTTTCAGGACACCTGTGTGCTCCCTGGGCTCCTGCCTGGTCGGCTGCTAGGATCTGTCACAGAGGCTGGATTCTGCCCTGCTGGGGCCCGTGCCAGCATCGCACGCTGCCAGGTGCCGCTCCCCCCACCCCCCACCCCCACCCCCAGGTCTCCTCTCCATTTGCTCCTGGCCCAGCCAAGCTCTGGGTGAGGCAGCCGTTTCGGATTTTTCCTGCCTTCCTTGAAGATGCTGTGCTTGGAGGGGGAGGAGGCACATCGCGTCTTGGAACAAATGTGCTTCTGCTCATGCAAATGAATGGCCGGGCAGCGTAGGCAGACTGTCGGTGTCACCGTCAGGGAGGGGGAGAGAGAGAAGGGGAGAGAAATCCCACCGGGCGGACTGATGAAGACTTCCAACAGGGAGCTGCCACTTCAGGAAACACGCTCACGCGCCCAGGACGGAGCCTCCGGTGTCTCGGTGGCCCTGACGCTCACGGTATGTGCTTCACGGGGGGGGGGGGGGGGGGGGGTCATAGGGCTCCTTGGGTGGGTCACCGCCGGGAGGGATGGCAGGTGAGTGAGGGTCCTGAGGGACTTGACGGGAGCCCCCCTCACCCGCTCCGTCTTCAGAGTTTGGTGGGTCCCTGCTGAGGTGACAGGTGGGTCCTGGGGCTGCACTTGGGGCGGGGGCTCCTGCCCCTCCTGGGACTTCCCCCTAGAATCTGGACCACGTGTGTGTGTGGGTTGGGCTCCGATGGTACTGATGCGGGGCTGGCATGAGGCGGAAGCGTGCCCGTGTGTGTGTGTGTGTGTGTGTGTATGTGGGGTGTGTGTGTGTGTGCATGTGGGGGTGTGTGTGCATGTGGGGGTGTGTGTGCATGTGGGGGTGTGTCTGCCACAATTGGGAAATCGGTCTCTGGTCAGGGGAGGTCACTCAGTGATCGGACGCTCTGTGCATGCCTCTTGCTTTCTCTGGATAATTCTCTGGATCTGGGACAATAGTTTTCAACACTAATCATAATAGCACAGTTACAGGATTAAGTGAGCCTGGTCGCTGTGGCTCAGCTGGTTGGGCATTGGCCCAGGCACCAGAGGTCGCAGGTTTGATTCCCGGTCAGGGCACATGCCCGGGTTGCAGGCTCAAATCCCAGTAGGGGGCGTGCATGAGGCAGCCAATTGATGTTTCTCGCTCATCCATGTTTCTATCTCTCTCTCCCTCTCCCTTCCTCTCTCTCTAAAAAAAACACAAAAATAATAAAAACCTATTTTAAGTGCAAAAAACTAATATTTATTGAGCACATCCTATTTGCCAGACGCTGGTGCATATCTGAATCCTCTCAATATCGAGGGTGTCCACTAGTCATCTCCTCATGTTACAGATCAGGAAACTGAGGCTCAGGCTCTAAGGCAGCGGTTCTCAACCTGTGGGTCGCGACCCCTTTGGGGGTCGAACGACCCTTTCACAGGGGTCGCCTAAGACCATCAGAAAACACATATATAATTACATATTGTTTTTGTGATTAATCACTATGCTTTAATTATGTTCAATGTGTAACAATGAAAATGCATCCTGCATATCAGGTATTTACATGACGATTCATCACAGTAGCAAAATTACAGTTATGAAGTAGCAACTAAAATAATTTCATGGTTGGGGGTCACCACAACATGAGGAACTGCACTAAAGGGTCGCGGCATTAGGAAGGTTGAGAACCGCTGCTCTAAGGGAACGCAGATGCTCCTGATTCCAATCCGAGGACACTCTCCCCGCTCTGCTGACAGACAGCGTGGGGACAAGGGCCTGGGGGATTCCTCATCTCCGCCCCTCGGGCTGGCAGGGCCCTGCGGGTGCAGTGACCTCTCCCACCACCGTCCTCACCGTCCTGCAGTCGGTCTCACCGCTCCAGACAGTGTGTGAGGAACTATATCGCAGTGACTCCTCCCCCCTGTTCTGTCTCTCCCCTGACTGGGAGCTCCTTGAGGGCAGATGGCATTTGTGTTAACACCCGAACTCTGAGCCCGGGGCCTGGCACGGAGTAAGTGGCCTCGCTGTGTTGGGTGATAGGCAAACGGGCCTGGGAGCTGGAAGACAGACTTGACGCCCGTCCAGGCCGATGTGTGACTCTCCGCGGTGCTGACGGCGTGGCCGTGTCTCTCCACGCGATCAACCTTCCACATAATTCACGTGAAGTTACACTCCCGTCTTCACACACAAGGGTGGGGCGGCTGTTTTTAAAATGTGAATGCCGCCTTCATTTCACATTGCTCTACATTCTCGTTTTTATTGATTTCAGAGAGGAAGGGAGAGGGGGAAAGAGAGAGAGAAACATCAATGATGCAAGAGAATCATGGATTGGCTGCCTACTGCACGCCCTACTCCGGGGATCCAGCCCACAACCAGGGCATGTGCCCTTGATCAGAATGGAACCCGGGACCCTTCACTCTGCAGGCCGACGCTCTATCCACTGAGCCACACAGCTAGGGCTGCGTTCTCAGTCGTTGCTCCCATTGGACACCGCGTCTCAGGCCTTCCTCCGGCCAGTGAGCGGGAGGGAGCTCCTCCTCTCTCCGTCCCCATTAACCTCTCCTGGCTCGCGGCACCTTCGTTTATCCAGCCGTCGCTCTGCTAATGGACATTTGAGCTGCTTCCAATGTTTCGCTGCAATAACTCCCGAGATAAGTGCCCTGTGTCTCTCCCGTCCACGCGGTGCTCCTTCGCTGAAGGCCGACGCCCGGGTGAGACAGCAGCCGAGGGAACAGGACAGCGCAAGGGAACGCGAGGTCCCGTTTGCATGAAGGATTTTGTGGTTGTTGTTCCTTCCAGTTCTGCTGCCTTATATTCCACAGAGCCAGGCAGATGGGCCCCGTGGCCGGCGTGTGTGTCCTCACTGTGTGCCAGGCACCGGGGTCACCCTCCCAGGGGTGACAGCCCAAGGGCCTGTCCAGAGCAGTGACGAGGAGGGCGGGGTGGGCCGGAGGGTGGGCTTGGCGTCTTGCAGGATGAGCCGCATCCTAGAGAGGGGAGCTGAGGCCTGGCTGGGGCAGGAAGTGTGTTCAGGCCGATAAATGAGCTCACAGCTTTTCCCTCTCTGCTGTGTTCACACCGAGCCGCAGGAAACCACATTGCCAGGCAGCAGGCACCCGCTCTCCTGGGTTTAAATATACTGGCTTGGAAGGCTGCCTTTGGGGGTTCCCTGCCAGGACTGGGGAACAGCACCCCTTTGCCATCCAGCTGCCTCTCCTCTCCCACTCTCTGCGGGCCGAGCATCCTTCATGGCACAGGGTGTCCGCAGGCTGGGACCTGGAGCTCCGGAGGCCCTGATTGGCCAGTGCTCACCGTTTCCCACGGGGATCCATTCCCGGAGCCATTTGTGGCTGTGGCTGTGGCTGTGGCTGTGGCTGTGTCTGTGCTGCTCACAGTTCTGCACGTGTCTTGTTTCTGAACCCCAACCCTGTGACCACCCCCCACACTCCTTAGAGAGCCTTACACAGAGTAGTTAGTCAGCGATTGTTTTGTAAATGAGCGAGTAGGTCAATGATTCTCTATTTTTTTTTGGTTAATCCTCACCCAAGGATATTTTTTCCATTGATTTTTAGACAGAGTGGGGGGTGGGTGGCGAAAGAGACACATCCATGTGAGAGAGGCACATGGATTGGTTGCCTCCTGCACGCACCCCGACTCGAGCCTGCAACTGAGGTCCATGCCCTTAGTTAGAATCGAACCCAGACCCTTCAGTCCATGGGCCAACGCTCTATCCACTGAGCCAAACTGGCCAGGGCCGGTCAGTGACTCTTGACAAGGTCAGACCCTGAGGACCAGAGCCAGGGTCACACCCCACAGGGCCTTCTGAGCCCCACGTCCCCACCCTCACCCCACCTACCTTCACGGCCTTCGCCCGGCGGATGAGCCCGTCGTCCTGCGAACTCCCGAGGAGCAGGTCGACCGTGGCCCGCGGCGCCCTCTGCAGCGCTCTGGCCGGAGCCTCTCGCAGGAACTGGCCGTCGAGCACGGGGCCCCAGTAGTGGAAGGGGCCACTCACAGCCAGGAGCTGCGTGGGTGCAGAGGAATGGCGCTGATTAGGCAGAGTTCACTCTTTTTAAAGGACATGGGGCTGAAACAACTAGGAGCGTCGCTTTGCTAAACCATCATGGACATGGTGCCGGTGGCCCATCTGCGGCTTTACCGGGAAATCAGAATAAAACGACCAGGGGCCAGTGGCAGGGGCTGGAAGGTGGGTCAGGGTCTGAGCAATGACTGGTCCAGGGGAGCTTCCAGAGCCCCCTCCGAGGTGACCACACCCCAGGGGGACCGGGTAAGCCTACGCCCAGGTGTGAGCCGGGCAGAGGAGAGAGTGATCAAGGCAGGGCCGGTGTCCTGGGGCGGGAGGTCACAGGGAAACGGGTCAGCCTCGGCCACTCTCCAGTGCAGCGGTCGCCAGCCTTTCGGACCTCTCATGGCCCGCGGACCACCTGCTGGCTCCACTGCTTCAGTGTGCTCCCATCGGGGACCTGAGGCCCGGCCCCAGGGCGGTTGCCAGTCCAGGCGGATTGCCGGAGGGACCAGGCCACCAGCTCAGATGACAGCAGTGGTCCCTGCTGGCGTCCCCTTCACTCACGTCAGGGCCAGCGAGAGACGGGGGCCGGGTCCTTGCAGGCAGGAGAAGGGAGCACCCAGCTGCCTGTCTCAGGCGCAGGGGCAGGGCCCAGCTCCACGGCAGCAGCACCGTGACCCTCAGCACGGTCCCCGCCCAGGCGAGACCCTCACACACATCACCTCACCATCATCTCCTACCCTCCACTTTACACGCAGGCTCCCAGGCACCCGGAGCCGCTGCCCTCAGCACCCACGCATAGCCCACCGCACCCTCTGTGCACAGCGCTGGGGGCGGGGAGCATGTGGCCTCGGGCCGGCCAGGCCTCCTTCCCAGGCCCGGGTTTCCATTTGTAAACATTCGGACAATGTCCCTTCCCAACTGGCACACGCGTGCCCACCTTGGTCTGGGCGTCGTTGAGGGCGTCGGCGGGCTTCTGGCGGAGGCAGGATGTCATTTCCTGGATGGGCGAGGCGGGGCAGCCGACCTCCTGTGCCAAGGCAGCTGCCTGCTGCTGTGCCCGCTCTGGGCTGATGACGGCGGCGGGGGAGAGCGCGGAGCCACCCTGGGGAGAGAGCAGACACGGGGCTGAGAGCCTCCCTCCCTCCCTCCTCCTGCTCAGCCTGAGACCTCAGGGCACAGTGGGAGGCCAGGACCCTGCTCGGAGGTGCCATAGGCATTCGGGAGGTCAGGATGGATTAATTGCCATCCACATGCTGTGTGGTCGTGCACAGATGTCTCCCTCCGCCTCAGTTTCCTCATTTGTGAGGTGAGCACGCTGGACCGGGTGGCCCTCCATCTTCGCTATGACCTCCGTCTTCGCTATGAACTAAGGCTGCATGTGGAGGCAAAGCACTGATGGTGGCTGAACAGGGACCAAGATCCGAACTGGCTCCATGTCCCACCACCACCTCCGGGGCTCCCTGACGAGCAAGCCCTCCGGCTCAGTGAAGATGGACTTGGGTGTAAACTAGATGCCCACCCAGGAGACTGGGGGACGCAGTCACTGTGAAAGAACCGGCCAATCACGGCGAGTCTCCAGCCAATCACGGCAAGTCTCCTCTCTGAGAACGGAGGGTGGGAGCCGGGCTCCGGGAGGAAATCAAGGCACAGAGAGGCGGGCGACTTGCTCAGGGTCACAGGGCAGAGGCAGGACCTGAACAGGTGGCCGGCTCCAAGGCCAAGCCTTGCACGCACACCTGGTGGGTTCTGGATGCGAGGTGGTGGCACTGTGCTCACTGTTATGTCTACTTCACTGTTGGGTCCAAGAGGGACCTTGTGGCCAGAGTCAGAGGCGGGGCCAGGCCATCGGACCCCAAGCCGAGGGAGCAGGACACATGGGGGTGGACCCTGACGCGGCCGCACCGGGTCCCAGAGCTCTGAGCTGCTCAGACCCGGGCAGGCAGCCTGGTCTACAGACTCCAGACGGGCTGGGCCCCACATAGTGTCCTGTCCTCAACCCATTCCGATAAGCGGAGGCTCCTGCTGCCGTGAGGTGTGCGCAGGCTGCCCGTGCTGGGGCCTGCAGAGCCCAGCATCTGTGAGTGAGGGAGATCGCGGGCTCATGGTGGGGACCTGCGAGCGGCAGTGGACATAAATGCCCAGCCAGCCCCGGGCCGGGAGGTCGGCAGTGGTGCCCACAAATGGTGGCAGGATGATTGCCCCCGGATTCAGCTTTCCAACGAGCAGGGGCCGGCTTTTCTGAGCATCACTGCGTGTGCTCTGACTCAAGAGAACACACACACACACAAACAGTGTGCGCACACATATGCACACACATGCTCACATATGCACACACATACATATGCACACACACGTGCGTGGCCATGTGCTTAAAGTACTCCAGGTCAAAGCCCCACATTCTAAATTGTGAGCTGACCAGGCAGTCCGAGGCTGGGCTGCGGTGGGGCGCCGAGCAGGCGGGCTGGGGGGCTGTGGACTGGGGATGGGCCCTGTGGTGTTTTCTACACTGTCCCAGCTATAAAAAGCCAGAGTTCCTGATGTGTGAGGAAGTGGTTAGAGGCGGGGGCTCGCGGATACTGCACGGCGGCTCAGAGAACTTTCCTCGCCAAGCATTTTGTTTTCATTGATCTTTCTGCACAAAACTTCTCTCTTCATGGAAAATCGGTGGTTAAAGAGCCAACAGCGGGCTCAGCCCCCACTTAAAAGCACTTGGTGGAGACAGGGAGCTGGGGGAGGGGTGCTGGGCGGAGCCCTGCCAAGAGCAGGGGCCTGGGGGCAGAAGGACCGGGTTCCAGCCCCAGCCCTGTTCCCCACGGACGAGGGGACCCTGGGCAGGGGTGTGCGGCTGACATCCGGGGGCCTCATCTCCTCATCTGGATGGGAGTGATAACCATGCCTCACAGCTGCCGTGAGGGGGCAGGGCGGGCGGGGCGTCCTCAGCCCGGGGGTGGGGTGGGAAGGAGTTGGTGCCCTTGATGCTCACGGGACTCTGTGGGTTCTGAGGAGCCGGTCCTGTCACTCTGCCCAGTCACGCCAGCAGCCTGGGCCCTGGGCCGGTACTTTATCTAAATCTGACCTAGCTATTCAGTGGCAATGAGTTTCCGTTCGTTTTGTGTGTTTTCTGAACTTTAAAAATAGTGCAGGGCGAGACCACAATTGCTGAGCACTGCTTTTTCTCCCGGAGCCTCAGCACATGCGAGGGGCCTTGACCTCAGTGAGCCACCAGCTGGGGTGACCTCAGTGAGGCCCCTGTCCGAGCACACACAGACACACACACAGTCACAGTCACACACACACGCAGTCACACATGCAGTCACAGACACACACAGCCACACACAGCCACACACAGCCACACACACGCAGTCATAGTCACACAGTCACAGTCACACACACGTAGTCACAGTCACACACACACGCAGTCACACATGCAGTCATAGTCGCACAGTCACAGTCACACACACACAGACACACTCATACACACACAGACACACACAGACACATGCAGTCACTGTCACACAGTCACAGCCACACACACGTAGTCACAGTCACACACACACACAGTCACACAGTCACAGACACACACAGACACATATATGCAGTCACAGTCACACAGACACACTCACATACAGTCACAAACAGAAGCACACACTCACACAGATGCACACCCAGAAACTTACACAGACATACACACACTCAGACACACAACAGTCACAGACAGACACACTCACACAGATACATACTCAGAAATATACAATTACAGACAGGAACACACCAGTCACAAGAACACACACTCAGACACACACAGTCACAGACAGACACACTCACACACACACACACACTCAGATTTTCTTGAAACGGACACCTCACAGTTTGCCGGGGAGCCACTCACAGGCCTTCCATGGAGAAGTCACTGGCCCCAACCCCGACGGGGCAGTTTCTGTGACAAATGTCCAGGCGGGGCCCGGGCCCTTCCTTAGCAGTGAGTCTGCAGGCCCAGTGCTGGAACGGGCGTGAGCCTGTCTCTTTCCTAACGGCCCCGGGTGAGTGCCACCCGGCTGACACCTGTGAATGTGCTGCTTCCAGTGCCAGCGTGCAATCTGGTGTTTTGGCTGCGAGGGAGGGGGCGCAGGCAGGAGCGCCTGCCGGTCGTGGCGGGTGACAGACGGGGGTGCAGACCCCAGCTCCAACTCGTAGCTGTTTGATTTGGGCTCTTCCTTCATCTGTCAGGAGCGTGACGATGCTGACAGCTTCCGCCAAGGCCGTTGTCGTGAAGAAAGGAGAGGATTCTCATGGCACACGGTGGCGCATTCAGAGTGCAAGGGTTCAGAGTGGTAGCCCTTGTTCCTCATGTTCGGATGTTTTAGGCAGCACCGCGATGCACATCTTCACAGGCAAATCTGTCCACATATTCATGCTAATTTCCTGATAGGCCACAGAATCACTGGGTCACAAGGGATACTTTTTCCCTGAGACATAAAAATGAATTGTGTGATCTTTTCCCATAACATTTTCATGGTTTCCCATGAAAGATATGCATGTGGGAATCTTTCTTGAAGGAACATAGGTTTGTATTATATAGGTGGCATTTTAAGCTCTGTTTCTGGGCCTCTGCAGAGACCTGTTTGAAAAGGGTCTCATGGAGATATAACTCACGTATCAAACAGTTCACTCACTCAAAGCCCACACGCCGATGGGCCGATGGCTTTCCGTTCTAGGCACAGAGCCCTGTCACCATCACCACGATCTAATTTTAGAACATTTTCCTCATCCGCAAAGCAGCCACGTGCCCATTAGCAGTCACTCCCAGCCCCAGGCCATCGCTAATCTGTTTCCTGTCTCTGCAGAGTTGCCTTTTCTGAAATTTCACGTAAATGGAGCCACCAATCGGAGGCCTCCTGGGCCTGGCTCCCTCCACTTCACCCAGTGACCGCGCACGTAGGCACTCCATCCCCTCCATAATTAAATACCATCCCATGGCTCCCACATGTAATATTTTATCTACTCAGCTGCTGGGCGTCGCTGGTTTCCCCTTTTTGGCGATTATAAATAATGCTCGATGAACAGCCTGGTCCATTGTGTGTGTGTGTGGGGGGGTATGTTTTCATTTCTCCTGGTTGTATACCTAGGAGTGGAATCGCTGGGTCAGAAAGGTAACTCTATGTCTGACCATTTGAGAAGCTGCCAAAATGTTTTCTAAAGCAGCGCCACCCTGTTATGAGCCCTTAGGCAGTGCCTGCATGTTCCAAGCTCTCCACGCCCCACCAACACGATATCACCCTGTGCATCCCTGTCACAGCCCCCCGGGGGGGGGGGGTGGGAGCAGAACCTCGCTGTGCGCTGTGCGTGTGACGTGCATCTTCCTAACGGCGGATGGTGGTGCGCACCTTTCCTGGTGCGTACGGGCCCTCTGGCCATCTGCTCTGGAGAAATGTCTGTTCAGGTCCTTGGCCCAACGCTAAGTTGGGTTGTTTGTCTTTCTGTGATTGAGTGGTGAGTGTTCTTTATATGCTCTGGATGCACGCTCTTCTCAGACGTGTGATCTGTGAACACTGGCTCCCAGTCCACGGGTTGTCTTTTCACTTTCCTGACGGTATCTTTAGTGACACAATATGATACCGTGAAGGTACGGGGCGGCTGGCAGGGTATATGGTGAGCAAGAGCCTGGGTTTTAGAATCAGACCAGCCCGGGTGGGACGTCTGAACCCACAAACATCTCTTACCCCCTCTGTGGGCCTCCGTGTTCTCCACCCACAGAGTAAAGGGAGGGAACCGGCCCTTCTCGAAGATGCCAGCAAATCGGCCCCTCCGGGGTGCCCCTGCCCGTCTCTTTAACATTTAACGTTAACGACGAGCAAAGCGAGAGAGACGGGGTGAGGGACTGCTTAACCCCAGGGCCTGGAGTCCAGCTGCATCCTAAATACACGTGTTTTTAAACCCTTTCTTTTCCCCTCGCTCCAGCCGCCTCAGGAAGGGTGCACCTCAGTGTGTTTTCTTTACAGACTTACATCTCCCCCTCCCTCCCCCACTGTCTCTACCTGGAAAGAGAAAGCAGGTGCCAGCAGGTCGAGGGGTTCGCTGTGACTTCACCCTCTGCACAGTGAC